GAGAACTTTGCTGCACAACAACTGGAACTGAATGAAACCAAGAAATTAACAGAGCAAACAGCAGAAACACTGAAGGAAGTTAATGCCAAATCTAAAAAGGTGAAAAAGCGTGTACAGGAGTTGGAAAAGAAAAGAATTACTGACAAATCTCAGCTTTTGCAACTACAAATGGAAAAAGCAAGCTTTATCCTGAGACTCCAAGGGGTTCCTGAGACAAAAGGAGATAATCTAAAACAAGTATTGGGTGATCTACTTGCACCAGTGACAGATTTGAAAACGGAATATCTTCAATGTGAAATGGATGTGGTCTACAGATCATATTATAAATATATTAAGAAAAATAATCTGCCTGGAGAAATAGTGGTTAGATTCTCAAAAAGATATGTGAGGGACCAAATCTTGAAAACAACATCAAGAATACCCCTGAAAATCAACGGTAACACCATACGCATACTAAAAGACATTCCATTTGAAATTAGAAAGAAGAGGAAGAAACTCAAAGACTTGGCATTGTTTTTACAAACAAAAAACATACAGTACAAATGGTTGGTTCCCAAAGGCCTACTCTTCAGAATAAATGAAAAAAAGAAACAATTGACTCTGTTAAGAAAGCAAATGAGTTCTTGAAGCTGCAACTGGGAAGGTCCGGAGAAGACAACAAAGATAAATACCAGCATAAAGAAAGCGGTGAAAACTCTCCTTCAACTACTGGGGAGGACTCTGATTCAGAGTTGGGGGCTGCGGCCCACAAAAGAAACTATGATTTGAGGAAAAGAAATGCTAAGAAATGAGATGCTTAGGAACTCTGAATTCCACCTTTAAGAAAATACATTTAAGTTTGATGTTTTGTGCTTGCCTTAAACAGTAATTGATATCGGATTTTGCGGAATATAGGCTAGATTTAAGCATTCAAGCTCACTGTATTAATAATAGATTAGATTATTCATTTTATAAGTTTATGTAATGATCTTCACTACTTGGATTTTTAGTGGTTAACTTTCCTTTCTCCTGTAGATATAAGATTCCCCTTTCCTATTTTCTTTGTAGTTTATAGAAAAGAAGTAAAAAATCACCTTCGGGGAGCCCAAAAAAAAATCCCAGTGAAACAAATCAGTTATTTCCTGAAAATGCAAAAGTGATATAAAAGTTGAATAAAATCCACAAATTTAAAAGCAGTTTTCTTTTTCCTTCTAGATTCTGAATATATGACCCGAAGTCAAAGAAGCTGCTTGTAGGAAAGTTAAGAAAAGGTCAGCAAGCAACTGCTCAGGCTGTCCTTCTTAGCTCAACATACAACAAATACCGTGCACAGATGATTGTAACATATCATAAATAATATTATATTTTTAGAAAAATATTTTACAATAATTTCTTCATATATCATCTTAATCACAAATCACAATAAGAGATATCAAAAATATCAAATATCATCTCCATAGAATCTCGAAAGATAATGTACAACCTTACAATTAATATTAGTCCTCCTCTGTTAAATAAAAGTTTCAAAAGGGAGGACTCCTTAAAGTCTCTTTATAACGTGCTCTGTCGCGTTATAAAGACAGAGCACATTATAAAGAGACTCATAGTTCCTCACTGGCTACATGAATTTTTGTATTATTGCAGTGAATCTATAGGCAGTACTGAGGACCAAAGAAGAAGAAGGAATTCCCTGCATGAGCTCCCAAATGATTTTGAATTTAAAAGGCTAGTGCACAGGTCCCAGTCTAGGCGGCACTGCAACCATGACCTTTAAGACACCCTCCCAGTGATTTTCCTGGCCCTGAATTCTCCCACAGAGCTGCTATTTGGTCTGGTGGGGTCAACATATAGGTCCCCCTGTATATTTGCACCAACACAGCAAAAACAGCATTTCAACCATGCCGGTTTATGTTGGATAAATGCTCACATAGGAGAAAAGCTTAACCTGATTTGGATGCCAT